ACAAAATGTTTTCGGTTCGATAATTCCATACCCGGAAATCTAATGTCATATTGATTGTTTAATTATCAAATATTAGTGTATATCAATAATTATCAATGTAACCTGTGGTATTTGACTCTTTTTAACTGTTCACATATTAGATCGTATGTGTAACAAAAGAAGAAAACTTAAATTAAGATTGGTGTTCGTGTGATTTTTTTTTAAACCACTAACAGTTAACTTTTATCAGATGGATCAAGATTGAAAATATTAATTTTATGAAAACTTTCGTCCTTTTTTTTCTTTCTTCCTCATTTTGTTCTTTTTTGTTGTTGTGTAATGCACATTCCACCGGTATGTCCTATCTGTCACTTTTTTTAAAACAGATTTTTTCATTGTGAAAATTGAATTTCTCCATGGCATTTAAAATACAAAAATAAGTGTCATTGATCAGTTCAGTTCAGTTCAGTTTGTTTATTCGGTGTGATTTACTGAAAGTACACATATTTTAATAATGTTTTATTCAATTTAGTTTGTTTTTCTCTTCGAAATATTCATTTGAAGAGAGGAATTGGTGGGTTGGAATGTGTATTCTCAAGTAAGACATGATAATATGTCTGATAACGACAAAGAGATTTGATGGGATAATTTAAAAAATAAACTTCTTTCTGCCTAAATAACTAACTAAATAACATGACACTTGTGCATTCATCTAGAACATAGATCAGGAAGGAATAGTGTAGAAGAGTATGGCACTGTTGTAGGTATTTTCAACTGAAGTCTGATCAATTTTATTTGAGATATGTAGATTTGGTGACGATTACCTCGATATAGCAGTTATGTCACATGTTTTTATATAATAGATGGAATGTGGTTATCAGTGGAGTCTAAGTTAGGCATTTTTTTCTTATCCGGTACTCGTCAACTGACTTTTAATATTCATCTTGGAACCTTTTATTCCTCATCCTGGACTTTATTACTAGCAAAATTCTGTTGTCTTTTTTAGAAAATTGTGGGAGAATATTGTGTCCATATGGATAGATTAGAACTGAACGAACACTCCTGAGATTTTTAAGGATGGTGGTCCAGTATTAACAGTAAGATTGACTGAGGTCTTAGGTAGAATTTGGGAACTGGACGTAATCCCATTTGACTGGTCTCAATCACTAATTGTGCCAGTCTATAGGAAAGGACAAAATTCCTCTTGTGACAATCACAGAGGAATCAGTTTGACTAATATAATGTCTAACATATCAGCCTCAATAATACTTCGACGCCTAAATAGAAGACTAGAGAAAACCAGGCTGGTTTTCGACCTGGACGTGGTTGTATAGACCAGATTTTCACACTACGTCAGGCTCTAGAACATAGACACACGTTCAGACGCCCCACAATCTTAGTATTTCTCGACCATAAAGCAGCATTCGACGCTGTCGTTCGTGAGGTTCTATGGCAGTGTTTGTCACTGAAAGGAGTACCAAAGAAGTACATTAACTTTGTAAAGGCTCTCTACTCGAACACAACAGGTCGAGTGAAAGCTTATGGCGAACTGTCATCAGAATTGATTACCTGTAGTGGTGTTCGTCAGGGCTGTCCACTCTCTTCATTCATGTTCAACTTTGTCATTGACGTACTTTTAGAGATAACACTTTCCTCAACTAAATATCCAGAGGTTGAACTTCTACCAGGAAATCCACTTGTTGACTTGGAATATGCCGATCACATAGTTGTATTTGGTGAAGACGCTGACAAAATTCAGAGTCTTCTGACCACTCTAAGCAAAAATGCAATCATGTTCGGGATGCGATTCTCGCCCTCGAAATGCAAAATGTTGCTTCAGGATTGGGTTGCATCGACACCCGAACTAATGATAGAGAGTGAAGTAATTGAGCGTGTCGACCGCTTCACATATCTTGGAAGTCTCATCAGCCCTTGTGGTCTGGTGTGTGACGAAGTCTCAGCACGGATACAGAAGGCTCAACTAGCTTTTACCAACTTGCGTCATTCATGGCGTAGGCGAGATATCCGTCTATCAACCAAAGGACGTGTTTGCTGTGCAGCAGTTCGTTCCGTCCTACTTTATGGCAGTGAAACATGGCCGGTAAGGGTAGAGGATATCCGTAGGTTACTAGTATTCGATCATAGGTGTCTTCGAAACATTGCTCCTGAAAATTGGACTAAGTCATGTTGATAGGTGTAGACTACCTGATTGAGGACCGCGAGATGATAGCGACCGATAGTTAGAGGCCCTGAATGACATGGATCAAAATCGTTTGCAATGGCGCGTAAACTCTTTGTGTTCTCCCAAATTTTAATCTCCTGATTCCTCCTTGTCTCTTTTTTCTCTTCCCAAATTTATTTCATTGGATTATACTCTTTAAATGACATCTCCAAACCCTAATCTTCCCGACTGCTGCATATACTCTTACTACCTCCACCACTATGGGATTTGAATCGACAACTGCATCTCTGTGCTAATTTGGTATGGCAACTCGAACTGATGTACATACGTACGAAGTTCTACGTTGTTACTGACTGACTGACTGAACTAACAGAGACTCCCACTTTCGTCGTACTTTATGTTATACACTGTCTGCATAGATATGTATATAAACTGTTGTTATCTGGAATACATCCTTGCCTTTCAAAATTCTGTTGTATGATGTCTCACTGTGAACTACATTTCTATTGTTGTGCGTTTCACCCCAAAAGTCCACAGTCAGTATCTCGTATAAAAGTTGAAAATAGATATTCTCCGCCGAGGTAAGGAATGTTACACACATTGAGTATACAGATAAAATAAATGATATTCAAGCTGTGCTTAACCAGTTCATGACCAATCTTCTTAAGTATTTGAGTTATTTACTCAACTGATACAAACAATTAGTGAGGTCTTTTTTCAATACATCTATTGTTATTAGTTTTTTCCATCGAATGTTTCATCAGTCTCCATATTGACACGTCATGATGGAAATATAAGTTATATATGTTAAAAGCACCCAAAAAACTTTGGGAAAGTCTTCAAAATCTGGTTAAAAGCTTAAAATATTTCATGCAATTATAGTTCGCTGTGTATTTTCCAGAGAACTCCGTAAAACAGTGAATTTTGTATCATATATTTATTTTGTTAACAATTTTGGCGCATTTCTAGAAGCTTATTTTACATCATGGTCACATGCAAGCCCATAACTTTTCCCTGTCTTCCTTGAATAAATAACCTTGAAAATAAAGATTCTTTTCATACTTCCCTCTTTGTATCTTCTGTTTAGCGCTCCAACGCAAAAAAAAATTTTTGCGAGAGCAGGAAGAGTTTAGAAATTTAGCGTCAAGCATTCAAATACCAGACTTATAGGATGAAATGTATTGGTCGAATTTTGTAGTTTAGTTAAAAAAAATTGAACCACTCTAATTCCAAGTGATAAACTATTATCCAAAGGATTACATAATTCATTATGAAAATAAAAATGTCGTTTATACACAAAATATGCTATGCAGTTCACTTGTTTTGTATTCAAATGATGCCCATCAAAAGTAATCAATATTCATGGGTACGAAGAGATACGTATACCATCAGTGAAAAGTCTAGGAATATGCTGTGAAGTGATTGATCACCAAGTAGTGATCGATGTCATATTTATCTAGCTTTTCAGCCCTAATCAAGTTCTATCAACCAAATTGAAATTTGGTCAACTAATCTAGATGACTCGAAACCATATGCGCTACATTTTGATGTCATGTGGTTGGGGTAAGTTGGTAGGATATGTTTTCCCCATATCATAGTGATTTATTCATTTCACATATCAAATATTATATAGCTTTATGAAAATACAACTAACCAGTTCATATCTTATATGATATGTGATATTATGGTACACTCCCAAACATTTCAGACAGCATTACTGTTGATGAAAAACAGTACAATTTTCCTTGTATTATTATTACTATGTTTTCGAATTATACTATGGTTACTTAAAATTGAATCTTGATCAATGTTTATCGATATATGTACAACCTGAATGGGTCACTTCAGTATTACCATTAGTTATGGGACAGTGAACCCAACTGATAAGTTTCAAATTTGAACAGAATAATTATCCTAAAACTTTATTGTTAACCACAGTTCCAACTTTATTAATAGCATTTTATGTCAGAAGGAGTTTGTGGAGATTTTAGAAATTTCACAGATTGAAATCATGAGTCAATTGAAGCTAGATCACCGTGGAAAACCTGGAAACACTGGACGGCCGTTTTGTCCTAGCACGGGTCTCCTCAGCAGTGCGCATCCACGATCCCGCGCCCCGCGAGATTCGAACTCAGGCCTACCAGTCTCGCGGCAGGCGCTTAAACAACTAGACCACTTAGCCGGCATCCAACAGTGTTAATGTCTAACTTCAACCAATCCACGAAGTGAGAAGCCGTTACCAGTGGAGTTCAACCAGGTCTGTTGTGAGATATCAGCTCACTGAAGACAATGGTGTATGATGGCGCAACTTCGTGGATTGGTTGAAGTTAGACATTAGCACCGTTTGATGCCGGTTCAGTGGTCTAGTTGGTTGAGCACCTGGCGCCAAACTGATAGGTCCTGGGTTGGAATCTCGTGGGGTGCTGGATCGTGGATGCGCACTGCTGAGTAGTCCCATACTGGGACGAGACGGCCGTCCAGTGCCTCCAGGTTTTCCATGGTGGTCTAGCTTCAATTGACTCATGATTTCAATCTGTGAAACATTTTATGTAATTATTAAAAAGCATTAAAATTATCCGACCAACACTATGGTGCAAATGCATTCAGCTTACAAGTCCTGAGTACAATGAAATATGTGTACTTAAATTTCCCTATTAAATACAATCTATCCATTCTATAAAGATTACTAGAGTTGTTTTATTCTTCTATAGTATTATTGTCTAATATTTTTCATTAAGTAATACAGTATTTACTATAAGTAGCTAAGAAATACCCACTGAATGCACAGTAGAAAAGAATATTATATATATACAAGTGGAAAATAACAATCTTCACTTACTCATTCATTCTATATGTATTGAGGATTAAGTTTGATTCAATGAAAAACAAATGAAAATCCGCAAAACGTTCATTGTTCTAATCTTTCATAATAAATAATTGTAGTAATCATACTAAGTAGACTTTTACTGATACAGTTGGCTATATCACCTGATTATCAACTTACCCAAAAATTGACTTTTAACCAATCATTTTCATTTATTGTATGTGCAAGCACATACTTTGTACACACGCTAACCATCTACTAAATATAACCATTTGTAGGTGTATTTTTTGTCATGTGAAAAATCAATTAATTTTTGAATACAATATATGACCCGGTTTGACTTAATGGTTGGTAAATAAAACCCTGTATCTATCTATCTATCTATCTATCTATCTATCTATCTATCTATCTATCTATCTATCTATCTATCTATCTATCTATCTATCTATCTATCTATCTATCTATCTATCTATCTATCTATCTATCTATCTATCTATCTATCTATCTATCTATCTATCTATCTATCTATCTATCTATCTATCTATCTATCTATCTATCTATCTATCTATCTATCTATCTATCTATCTATCTATCTATCTATCTATCTATCTATCTATCTATCTATCTATCTATCTATCTATCTATCTATCTATCTATCTATCTATCTATCTATCTATCTATCTATCTATCTATCTATCTATCTATCTATCTATCTATCTATCTATCTATCTATCTATCTATCTATCTATCTATCTATCTATCTATCTATCTATCTATCTATCTATCTATCTATCTTTGTGTTTCATTATTTGGGCCCATTGTTTCATCCAGTGTAGGCATTGGTACGGAATCTATGCTCAGGGTTGATTTCTGGTTGCCTTCAACGAATTGACAATTAATTAAATATTATTTCTAAGTTAATAAGGTACATGTGTTAAACTTTGTTATTTAATGTGAAATTTATGAGCGAAATTTTTGTTGAATGTAGATCATATGTCTTTGAAATTATCATCAAATAATTGAAGTCAAATAGAATGTTCATCGTGCAAAGAAGTGTAACTTGACGAAAAATTTGGTATCATTCCATAATGTCATTGACCGACTGACTGACTGACTGACTGATTTTGACGAAGATATTATGGTTTGTATGAAATCATCTTCTTTAAGCTAGTGAATTTAATCGTTAGAATGTCATTCAATTTCAAGAATACAACTTCATCAGAGTTAAAAGATGTAAAAACTACAGACATTTGAATTTGGCAGGTTGTGAATATTATTGACCAAAATTTCAGTGACAATTTACTTTATGAATGTTAGAGAAATAATTTGTAACTGGGTATACTACATTATCATAGTTGTAACTTTTTAGTGTTATGTGTCTCATTTGAGACCTAACAATTCAAAAATGTCCTAGTATCATATTGAGTACGAATAATATGAAATTTACTTTACTATACTAAACGAGGTTTTCAAATAATTGGACTTTGATGTGACCTAAGAAATTGTCTTTCTCTTATTATATAATAGAAATAAGTAATTGAATGAGATTAGTTTTAATTCAGTGTAATTTTGATGTAGTATTTATTCAGGATGCTGTTTACAAAATTGAGAGGACAAAAAGCGAATGTTTGGTATTTTAACCGAGTTGGTGGATATGGAGGATCCATCTAGGGGAGTCGGAAAACTCTGATTACAAACCAATGGTAGACATGGGATCCAGGATCCTGAGGGAACGAATGGCATATGAACCAATTATTGGTCACAGACTACCTTCTCTTGACGTTACTCCATTGCCTTGTGGATTAGACCTTTAGGTCGAAGGCTCCGGGTGTGGCCTCCTAAGAAAACCGCCCGTTTCGATTTGAGCACCCGGGCAGTATCACAGCTCTCACACAAATCCAGTGACTTGTGCGGTGCATATGTGAGCAAATGAAATCTACTTCTGGAATCGTTTTCATCTTCTTGTATCTGTTATAAGCGCTTACAACAGAGATTCAAGTCTGTTGATTGTTCTTAAAAGTATAAAAATGTAATACGAAATAGCTTTATATAGACTTTTAATTGTGTTTGATATCCCGTCATTCACTATTAATCAGTTCATGACAAGAAAAACTAAAGTTAAAAGTATTTTTATCTCGTATTTCTTTATTATCTTGATCTGAACTCATTCACCAAAATGAGAAATGTTGTATATCTCTTGAGAGTTCACGAATATCTCTCGACGAAATCTCTTAGAGCCCACATAAAGGTGGAAAACGTTTCATCTAGTTAGCAATGATTGAAAGCTTCTTATAAACATCTAGAAAAACGAAAGATTATATATCATGTTATTATTGGATAATAACAGTATTTAATATACTTCCAGAAGTTTCTAGAGTACTAAGGTTAGCTAGAATTCTATAAATATACCCGTTTTTCTGGATATAGATTAATTTCAGTATATTGCTTTTATTTATACTTCATGCCATTTTTTCAATGGTTTGGATTCAAGTATAGAATTAGTCTATATTTATAAGAAACAGCTTAAAAAACTAGTAACAAGCATTCAAATAAGAGATGTGTGAGCATACTCCCTATAATTTTTCATTTTGTAGTAACTAACTAAAGGTTTGTAAGCAATGATGGATAGTGGCTAGCAGTGAAATCCAGGACACGTGTTTCGTCCTGTTTGAGACTCGCCAGTTGGATGTACCTGCATCTCAGAGAGTTGATGTTCACTCTGCGACTCCAACCCATTACCATTCGCTTCAAACTCCATCGCGTTATCCACTAAGCTACTGAGTCCTGATAGCCACTGGCTTGTGCAATGGGGTGAATTTGAATTCACTTGGTATTATTTTTAGCTCGTATCTCCCCATTGAGGTTTAAGACTGCAATTGATCAGTCTGTTATTGGCATATGTACATACTGTGCATATGCCTCGATATTACCTTAATGCAGTCTTAAACCTCAATGGGAAGATACAAGCTAAAAACTACCAAGTGAATTCAACTAATGGTTGTTTGTTTTGATTTGAACAGTGATTTTATCAATACCAAAATTATGTAGTCACTATACACTATATTATTGATCAGTATAATTGAAACCAGAACATTTATTAGTAAGGAGTCAAGATGAAGACTTTTTTTGTACCATATAATGTAATATCGATTAATGTATAGTCTGATAAAACTGACAAATCAACACCATTGATAGCATTGTATAAAAGAAAAAAGAACAACAACTGAATTTATCCACTTTCATTTCATACATTTTATATTCAAGTAACATTTGTCTTCAACATTTTGTTTATATGTTCTTTTAATCTTTCTCTCTTTCAATAATCTTTTACCTTTCTCGTTCCATTCCCTTATCTTTATTATGGAATTTGTTTTTAATAAAGGTTGATAGTGAATAATTTTTAAAGACAAATTTTCCTTTAATAACGGTTCTCATTAAACTACTTTTATTTATGCACCAGACTGACTGGATGGGGGGGGGTATCGGAGGTAAACGTAAACAGTGTGGTAGATTTTTTTGGTTTTAAAAGTTAAACAGAATATATACATATACATGGATACAGACACATGTTTGGAATCATATTGAGATCATATATTATATACAAAGACTTCTGATATTCTGTTAGGATAAATAAGTTACTGTACACCAAGTTGTTTTTTTTTGTATAGATCATAATTAAAGTGCTTTGAAATGTTGTTGTTTAGATAGTAATAAAATTAGAAATTGAATTTTCATTTATATTTTAGGTAAATCAGGTTCCGTAGTTAAGTATATTTAAAATGATTTGAAATATAATTTGATGTTCTACATCACGGACTGACTTTACCTGGAAAACTATTGAAAACAAGATAGGATTCGACAGTTATTTTGTTTTAATATGGAAGTATTCACTGATGCCATATTCTTACGATCCCATTGGGAATCAAATCTTGGACTATCAGGTTTTTAAACTATCGAGTAACCTCGAGAGTAGTGATTTGGCATCCATTACTTTATATTTCATTACTTCAATCAAAATATGATGTCACTCAACAGTCACCTATTATCTTATTCCTAATATGACTGAACACTACTGGTCGTTGCTTTACACTTGAACTTCGAGAATTAGTTCTCAGAGTTAGTCATTATTATATGTCAGTGTTGTTTATCAGGGTAAATCGTTTCCAACAACAATCTTTTCAAATTTTTATGATATTTGTCTTTGTCATCGTATTTTCTGTACAGGTGTTTATGTACACATGTTGTATGTGTTATTCAGCTATTTGATTCTTGCAAGCAACTCCTCAATGTCAATATTCATCCACAACCCTAAATGGGATCGAAGTACGAGTAGTCCATGATGTAATCTATAAAATTGAACGGTAATTACGAGACATTTTAATGGTGTAGTAAAAAAGGAACTGTGCATTAAAAAGCGAAATATGGAGAGAGAAACAATCAAGCACGGGCAGTAGTCTCAAGGAACGAATGAATGACTGAACGGGGCACATAGAGTTCATATGTAAACTATTAATTCACCAAAGTGTCTGGAGTGTACACGTTTCTGACTTATGCTCCATCCGTTCCGATTCGTTTAACTGCTTAGATTATTTTGAAAAATAATTCTGGCAATTCACGCAACATGGAAAAAGTTGGTGATATGTTCATATTTTGAACTACCGAGTGTTTAGTAAGTGATGTGGTCAAATAAAAAGGCTCTTCGTTTAACTATTCTAAGTTTTATCATACGAAGTTAACCACTTTTTCTCAAATATACGGGGTTTATGGAGACTATAGAATTGTCATAGCTTAAATCTCGAATCAACCAAAGTTAGACCCCTGTGGTTAGTCACAAAGCACTGGAAATCTGTTTCATCCCAATATGAGATTCCTCAATGGTAGGTCCGACCCGCACTTTTACCCTAGGAGATTGAACCCAAGAATTTTATCTTTGCGTACAAACACGTAACCTCTAGACCAAAATCCATTAAGATACATATCCAACTTCAGCTAATTCATGATGTTACAGGATCATCCTCCACCTTTTATTTTTTTAATTATTTCTATTGTTTCATATCAGAAGGGTTTTGTGGATATTATAGTAATTTCAATGGTTGAGATCATAAGTTTGTTGAAGCTAGACCACCATGGAA